ATATAGTAATAAACGATAATTGTATATGTAATTCCGAATATACCCTTAATAAAGTCTCTAATTTAAGCCCAAATCCTGATTTTCACCTTCTGCTTGCTGCACCTTTTCCCCACCATTGTTGGTGACCTTTTCTTTCAATTGGAAAGAATCTTTCAGATTTAGGAAACAAGAGCAAAATTCCTATTTTTGCTTCGGCTAGTAACTCAAAGAGCATGTTCCCATCTTCCTTCGAATCATCAAAAACTTCAGAGAAATCCCATGATTAATTATTTGGAACAAATCCACTTGCTGGCTGCTTCTTAAATAGATTTTGAGACTTTACATCATCCCAATTTGACAAATTATTGATGAAAATTGATTGTTAATTATCAATTTATTAGTTATTAGTCTCTACTCTTTTGGATAAATACATTATTTTGGGACAATCTGGTAGATTTAGGAAAAGGGGATGAGCGAAGAAGAAGAAAAGGGGGGAGGGGATGTTGGTTTAGGAAAAAAAGTATTTTTTCTTGTTTAAATGTATTTTTTTTTGTTAATTACATGTGTCAAGTTTTTATGGTGAAATTACACGTGTCATGTGTTAATTGGTTCATTTGACATGTCATTGGCAAGTGTAACTCACGCATATGCTGTGCTGCACTCGGGTGTTTACTCGATCTATTTAATAGCCACTTGAAGTGTCAAAATAAAACAGAGCTCGGTTGAGGTGTTTAATTGATTGTTGAGGACAACTTAAAGGGGCTGTTTATGTATTTCGCCTATTTAAAAAGACTGCGATTTCGTTAATGAATTAAACTGAGACCCTACCGAATCGTACCGAACCAAATTAGAAATACCAAATCGTACCGAATTTGGTACTGTATATGGTATGGACAGCCGATAAATCGAATACCAAAGTGTCGAACCGAAGTTTTCAAATACCGTACTGAAGTACCGAATGCCCACCCCTACATTTTATTGCTTTATGCTAGGTAACGAAATAATGGTGATTAGACAGGACATGGTGCATCTTCAGCTTATTGAGCACATGAGTCTTGACTAAACCTGTTAATCGGGCCGGCTGACCCGTTTTCAACCCGCTTCGGCCCCGGTCAGCCCGTTACTGTAGCTTATAGGTGCGGGCTGGAACGAGTTGAGCGGGGGGCGAGTTTTAGACGAACATATTTTGGATACTGGTGTACCGGAACCCGCTAAGCCCGCTAACCCGTTAACGGGCTGCAGCCCGGTATCCGTTACAACTTTTTTTTTTTTAATTTTTGGACCGTTGCCAACGGTCAAATTCAGAAATGACCGTTGGGGAACGGCCAAATTTTGCACAAATGGCTATTTCGGCCTCCCCCATTAAAAAAAGAGCCCTCCTACCCCTAATAATTAAAAAATTATAATTTTAACCTTTTAAAACCTATAAATAGCCCCCCTTCTTCTTCATTTTTTCTCACAATTCACTCTCTTACTACTCTAATTCTCTCTTGATATTATTGATTATTGTTCTTAAATTCTCAATTACTTATTATTTCAAGTTTCATCAAATATTTAGTTTAGACATTACACAATTATTATTATCAAATATCAAGTATTCAAGTGAAGTGTGGTATCAACTACTATCAAGTATCGACTTTCAAGTTTCGGTCTATTAATTGAAGTTTGATTTTTGATATCAAAATTAGTGTGGCATCCGGAATTCCGGTACACTCGTTCCATCTCTTTCTCTTATTTGGTGTACACTTATTTTACTATTTAAAATTATTAATTTAATTTCTTAAATTAATTTACATAATGAATTTACTTAGAGCAGCCAAAAAAGCGTGCACTAGTAGAGGTGGTAGTGGTAGTAAGAAAACTTCCAAAAGATCAAGAGGTGGTGTTGGTTCTTCTAGTAGATTTACACATATTTCTGAAAGTTCACCTGAAAATTTAAATGTAGAGTATGAGCGAATGTAAGAAAATTATGGTATAGATGATGATTTAGATGATATTCAATCACCCGATAATCTTGAAACACTACCACCTACACCTGGTAATGCTAGTCAAACTCGAACTATTAGGGTGGAACAAGTAAGCCTCCCCTCCCTATTAAGAAGAATCGAAGATTAAGAAGTAAGTGTTGGAATTTTTTTGACAGACTAGAAGATCAAAAAAATTATGTAAAATGTAAAATTTATAATGAACTTTATAAACATGAGCCCAATAAGGGAGGGGGAACGGGTCAACTTCGTAGGCATATGGAAGAGCTCCACCCTCTTGATTGGGGAGTAGATGCGCAAGATGGGCAACAAAAACTTAACCCGAGTACTGGGGGGTTAATGGGTAAATACGATATTAAGAAAGATCGGGAAGAATTAGCTAAAACCATTGTTTTAGGTTATTTACCTTTTAGTTTTGCTTCTTCACCATATCTTGTTACTTATATTCAAAGAATTTATAATCTTTTGTTTAAAGGTATTCCTAGAAGTACTTGTAGAGCTGATATCTTTAGGCTTTTTGGATAATATCAGACATATATACGTTATTTGTTCGCAAGTCTTTCTTGTAGAGTTTCTCTTACTTATGATATTGGTCGTGCTGTAAATGAAAATGATTATTTGACTGTTACATGCTATTAGATAGATGATAATTTTTGTATGCAAAAACGTATTGTTGCTTTTAAATATGATGAAGATCAAAGTCATACTGGTGCATTTATGAGTAATACTATCCATGAAGTTGCAATATTTTATTATCTTGCAGAAAAAGTTTTGTGTATGTCATTTGATAATGCTTCTGACAACAATGCTGCTATTACAATATTAAAATTGCATCTACACCCACCATTTCCTGAAATATTTCATGTTAGATGTGCATGTCATATTTATAACTTGATTGTGAAGAGTGGCCTTGAATTATTTAGAGATAAAATCACTTTAGTTAGGAGAGCTGTTGGTATAATTCAAGAAAATAATAAAAGTGCTAGCTTAAATGCATTTAAGGAAAAATATGTACACTATGGACTAAAACCAAGACCCATACCTGAAGAAATAGTTACTAGGTGGAATTATACTTATTTATTCTTAAGATGTTGTTATAAATATAGAATGCCTATAACTGAAGTTGCTAATTCTCATTGTACGGATCCTAGCCATTTGTTAACATCTAGAACTTGGGATCTCATTGAAGATGTTGTACAATTTTTACAAAAATTTTATGTGGCTACACTTGAGTTTTCTGGAGCGTATTATCCTACTATTGTAAATGGTTTAGTTCATATTGCTGAATTTCTCTTTTACTACATAATTTGAAGAAGAAAGAAGGATATACTTCTGTTGTTGAATCTATGCTAGATAAGTTTAAAAAATTCTTCTACCCAATTCCCCATATTTACCTAATTGGTGCTATTTTAAACCCTACTATCAAAATGATAGAGTGTCGCCAATTAATCAGTGCTTTATATACTTATATGGATATTGGACCAACTGAAACTCCTGATATTGACACTTGTATTTCTGATCTACACAATCATTTACAAACTTTATATAATTATTATGCTAACATTATTGATGCTTCTTCGATTGTAGATGCAAATATTCCTTCAACTAATACTTCAACATCCGGAACAACTTTGGATGATGATGATGGTGTTCAAGATTATTTGATTTGGTCTACACTAGGAGAGCATCAACAAACCAGTAGCAGGAATATTGATGAACTCCAATTCTACTTGCAAAAGTCACCAGAGCTCCTCACAAAGGACTTTCTATCGCTGGGTTGGTGGAAGAGCAACTCAAATCAATTTCCTGTTCTTTCGGCCATGGCTCGAGACGTGCTAAATGTGCCGATTTCAACAGTCGCATCAGAGAGCGCATTTAGCCAAGCAAGGCACCAGCTAAGAGATATCCGTCATTCATTGGGCAGCAACACTTTGGAAATTCTAGTGTGCTTCAGAGATTGGATAAGATCAGAACGGCGAAATCAAGGGCGTGCCGAGGTAGACGAAGCGGAGGACCAAGAAATTGGAGATATAATGGTTTATGGTTCCGATTCAATTAATGCCGGAAATCAAGAACCTCATGTTGACATGGAAGAACTTACAAAAATGATGCAAAATATGTGATGTACAATTTCTTATTTTTTATAATTGTTGTAAACTTTTAATTTGCAAGTTCAAAAATTAAAAAGTCAAAAAAGAACTTGCAAATTAATTTGAAGTATTAAAAATATAAAATGAAAGCCTTCGGAGTTTGTCCTTACATATTGCCTATTGGTCTTATTGAATAATTTTTTGTAGCCACTTACTTTCTAATTTCAATTTTAAAATTTTAAAAATTTCAAATTTAAAACTTTAAAGTTTAAACTTCAAAGTTTAATTCTAAGCCTTAAAAGTTTGCAAACACTTAAGTATCAATAACATTGAATAAGAAAAACAAAATTTATTTAAAAAAAAATTATACTAGTCCGGCCCTCCCGAACCCGGACAGGCCCAAAATAACCCGAAATTTTTCAACCTGCCCCCAGCTCGTTATCCCAGCTCGCTAACCAACCCGGTCCGATAACGGACGGGTTGGTTTTTTTTTGTTCAGCCCGTCCCAGCCCGCCCGATAAACACCTATAGTCTTGATAGGAGGGTGTGAAGGTCGAGAATTAAGGTAAACGGTTAATAGGTAGTTTAGAGTCTCTCCTTTCCTTACCAGTATTAGTATTATTCTTAAATTTTTTAATTTTTAGATCTCTATTCATACATGTTATTTCGATCGCTAATTATCGTACTTTTCTGTTATTGTAATTGTTTGTTGCTATTGTTTCTTTTTTTTCACCTTTATTTGACCCGAAGCTCTATTAAGAATAGCCTCTTTATATTCACTAGGTGATTATACTGGGTTTTTTTGCTGTCGTTGAGAAGGTGATCTTGATTTTTCCTTTTTGTTATCCATGCGGTATCTAGTACCGCTCTCTTTAGAACTTTAGTACTTAATTGTTAAAAAATAATTTTACTTTCACATTTCCATATATCACACCACGGGAGTGAACCCAAATATTTTGGCGGGGTCCTAATTCTTTTTCTTATTATCCTTTTCCAAAGCCCAAATTTTGAAGTCTCATTTTTTTACCGCCAGTTCGGTTTATCACTATTCTCCAATACCTTTGACGGAACAATCGCCGGCGCCGGAAGGATGCCGACGGTGTTCATCGCCGTTCAGTGCTGTCAATGCTCCACCATGCAGGTATTTCTCTCCGCTCCTTCATTCTGTGCACACACAGAGAGAGAATAACGTCGTAATGAGAATATCAAGAGATATTTCAGGTGAAGCAGCAGAAGAAGAGTAGCAACAAATGGACTTGCGTTGTCTGCAATCAGAAACAGTCTGTTCGGAAAGTGTTTGCACAGGGGTACAAGGCCAAGGATGTTCGCTTATTTGTTCAGAATTTCAACATGTCTCGTCAATTTACGGATCAGTTGCCCGTGGTAGGCAGGGAAGAAACTGAAACCCTAGAAATTGGAGAACAGAGTCAAAGTCATGGAAGTTACAAGAGAACTGATTGGACTGAGTACCTCGATCCAGAAGAAAATGCAATTGAAAACAATGAAGATTCAGGTAAGTTAATTTTTATTTGGATTGTTTGTTTGTTTGTGTTTTTTTTTTTTTTTTGGTTTTGATTGTTCGATTTGGAAGTGCAAGGAGATGTAATGGAGCCGAAGATTGTGACGGAGTTGCCAAAAGAATTATTCAGGAAGCCTAAGTTGAATAATTACTCTGCTGTTGAAGGTCATTTCGGACCAGTTTTCTCAAAGCGGAATGCCAGAAAACAAAGCACTTCTCAAGGTCAAGTTTACTGAAATTTTTATATAACTCTTTCCTTTCTAGCACAATTGTTTTCGTTACCAACTCCCATCTCCTTGCCTCTCAAATCCTCCAAAAGTCGAATTAGTTTAAAATTCTCAATGGTTTGTGGAAGTCTTTATTCTACCCTATGGAGTCATAGATTTGTAGTTTTTACGATCCTGTGAGGCATTGGAATTTTTCCAAATCCAAGTCTGGTGTTACTGTGTCTCATCAATCAAAATGCACAAAATACAGCTAATATTTATGGCCTTATAGAGGCAAAAAGTCAGTGGGTTCTATATACAATTTTTTTTTTTGTATATCTATATAGTTTGAGACAAAAGCAATGAATCCAATTGAACCCACGGAACTTGCCTTAGATCGCCTCTGGCCACTTGTTTTGGTGCCTAACCATAAAAAGGGATGTGTGTGTGTGGGTGGGGGGGGGGGGTTGTGATTAGTAAAAAGCACCGTCCTATGTTGTTGAGAACATACTGAGCAACTGTCAATGGTTAAAGGTCTAAAAGTTTTAAAAACGGGTTAAATATGGATAAGAACCATATTATTCATTTTGAAAATGGTTAACCAATGGGTCTAACTTTTACATTTGTCAAGCCTCAAATTAGGGGTTCCTCAAGTTAAGTAGACTAAGAATTCTTCCAAAAGTGATCATATGCAAGAAGTCATGGATAATATGGTTACCCATATCCGCCGGTTAACCTGTTTTTTATCCGTATTAAATATAAGTCGGGTCGGATAATTTATCCGTTTTTTATTACCCGTTTTCGACCGAACCATATCCGACCCGACCCGCCAGTTTACCACTCCTATGTAAGAGTGAAGATGAACATGTAAATCATAGTTACAAAGACCTTGTTAGCTTGAAACAAAATAGTGGGTCGAGAAACTCAACTTAGGAAGTGTCTTAAGGTTGGTAGGTACACATAGTATGAGGCAGTGTTAGTATAATAAAAGGGATAACAAAAAAGCAGATAAAATAGCTTGAACACCCTTTCGAGCTGTTTACTTGTTCGAGTGGTCACACTCACGGTGATGGTTGGGGAGGCTAACTTCACTGTTGGAAAACTGCATTGTGGAATTTCACTAAGCCTGTTCTTTGTTAAAAAATGTGACCATCTTAGAGCTTATTGACTTGCAGGTATGGAGCCAAGCAAACGTCAGGCAACAATGGCATCGATGGTCTCCAATTGGGGAGATAATAAACGAGTACCACCAGACATGTCTGTTCAGCCAGCAACAGACAGTCTTTGCAAATTGGATGACAGCATCAACGTATATGGCAATGACAATTCTATGAATGAAAGAATTCTTGGTTATGGCAAGTCAACAGAGAGAAGTCAGCCAAAGACAGCCAACAAAGTCTCCAAATGGACTGAGTACATAAACGTAGATGAAGATGAAGATGATTGTCAATTGCAGTTTGCAAGTGGGAGAGGATTCACATCTGATGTCAACAAATGGAGCAATGATACCTTTGGGACCTCATCGAAGGATCAAAAACTAGATGACGAAGAAATCCACCCTGATTTTCTCTAGATTCGTCTAAGATGAGTGTATTATGAGCTGATAACAAATTTGTGCTCGAGGAACTAGTTTCGTTTGTTTTAGTGGATAAGCTTTTACAACACTAAACGAAGTGCACGTAAACGATTGTAATAAAAAGTACCATATTGGTTAGAACAGTTAGATATATGAAGCCCCATTGAGCAAGTTCTTGACATGAAAAGGAGCCAAGGAAATGCCTAAGACTTTGAAGTAAAATACGTTCAATATGCCAATAAACCCAGCTCAAGAAGGGTAAAATATGCCATATTTTTACCAACGGATGTTTAGGATCAAAGGACCTTTGCCTTACCAGGTCCTCCGGATCTCACCATCCGAAGTTTATGCATCTCAACTACCAACAGCAAACACAGCAGTCAAATAAACTAAATTGATCATGTCCTTGTCACATGAGACAGCATACGTGTCGGAATTATGCTAAATCCTACAAATGCAGAGGCTAAGAGAACAATTTTAGTCAAACAGAACAATCCATAAGTTGCAATAAGTCTCAAAGCAATTTAATATCACAGGAGAAAAAACTCAAATGGGGAAGCCCTAAAAAACCAAAAAATAAACAAATAAATAAAATAATAAAAAATGTGATCAAGCAAAACAAATTCCTAGTTTATCATTCCAAGAAGGTCTCTTTGCTAAAGTTAGAAGCCTATAGAGAATGTCATTTACTGCCTTAGCCAAACCACAGAGGATGATAGCCATCCCACAAAAGAACTAGGTAATAGATTCCCAACGCTGCCACCATTACCCCTTCCAAAAAATAAAAATTTGCTTCATCCATTCAGGGTGAGAGATCCAAATTTGTCACCAACACTAGAACCTGGCCCTGCTAAGCGAAGAACATCCATAGCCTCGGAAACTTTCTTATTGAGAGCATCAGGGGACTCGATGAGATGAAGCACCTCAGTTTGATCCATCTCAAGCAACATCCCAGTAACTTTACCAGCATGATCACGTTCAATGCGTTCCACAAGTGGAAATAACTGCTCTCCAAGCATCTGCAATTTAGAGTTAAGCTGATAAAGCATTGGGAAACAAAGAGACAGCAGCTCAAGTTTGACACGAAAGTCAGCATGGCACAGTGAAGCTAAAATCAAGGACGTACCCGATGCTGATCTTCTGGAGAAGCAAAGGCCAAAGAAGAAGCAAGTGTTGATGGTGGCCCTGGGTTAGTGCGTTGGATGTCCAACGTAGATGATGTCATAGCAGAAGCATCAAATGGCGCTGGCATAATTGGTCCCATCATACCTTGAGTGATGCTAGGATGCATGCCATTTCGTCCATTGGGATTGAATCTACCGGAGTTCCACTGCATAAAACAAAGCTTTAACAACTCAACTTTGTCCTCGGGAATCGAATTATTAATTGAAACTGAACGCCAGTTTGAAGATTGTACAGTTGTGTTATTATTTTCAAGATTTCCCATCAATTTCTTGATAAAATCATACCTAACCAAAGAAGTCACTCATTCACATATGCCAAAGGTTTTAAGATAGTAATGTTTTAATCTTACGATCTATCACATAAAATTAGTGACTTTTTATTCAAAGCTTTTATGAAATAATGAAATAGGGAAATAACCAAATGACGTGTCAATGCTTAAGTACCACAGCCAAGAAGTTCGCGTTTATATCACTTTGAACTGTTGTTTACAATAGAAGTGATTGTCGGTATTCAACTAAAATATACTCATACATAATTTTCGAAAAATATATTTCTTTAGAAGACCAGAAAGTGAATGCATCCTGAATAAAAATGATGTACTTTCACGTAACGTTACTAGAAAGAAAGAATATGCACCTGCTGCTGCTGTTGAGTATTCCCTCCTCTCCTTCTACCAACACGTCCGTGTTGTCCTTGATGCTGAAGCTGATAGGGCAAGAGGAAATTCGGGCCAACAGCTGGACGAAGTCCAGGCATGAGTTGTTGCTGGAAGCCAAATCCAGCGGCTTGAGGTGCTATAAGTCTTGGGGCACCTTGACCAAAGTAGACCTGCTGAGGAGCAAGTCGAGGTGCCCCATTGTGAAACCCAGGCATAGGAGGAGGAGCCATCCCCCCAGCTGGTCGCATCCGAGCAAAATGTGCCTGCTAACAAGTAAACATTGAATTAAGCTACACGCATCCAAAATGCTGATCTGTAGAAGGCCAATTATCATTGAATGTAACAGAGGTTGTACAACACATGTCCAGCAGGATGGATTTAACATAAACAGAAAGATGATGATATGCGAACAACTTTTAAGGAAGAATAACATCCAAGGACTAGAGAATCTCTATTTGTAAGTCTAAGGAACCAAAATACCACAGGAAGCTCCTTTGACACTCAAAGGTTTTGTTCACTACAACAGAAAGCTCCTGTTTCTGAAAGGACAGTTCATTATCAAAGAAAATATATAAGAGGGATGCCCCATTCATTCTTCGAATTTACATCACATGAATCCAGATCTTATCAAATGGAATGACTTTCTTTGTTTTGTTTATGGATATATTATAAAAGTAGTCCACAAATACCATAGAACATTTTATCATGTAGAACCTCATTTGTCAAATTAAAGGCACGATATATTATTGGTGAACTGATAATGTTCTCAGTCCCAAAGATTAAAAAACGACTGGTTATGATAGTAAGCAGTGCAAATGCGCTATACCTTTGATCACGAGTAACGTGCACTATATAACTAATACATTCAGGCATATGACATCATAGCATGCTTAGATAGATTCCCTCCTCAAGGAACCAAAATTATTTGCTGTTCACGTGAAAATTACATCTTAGGAGAAAAAATCTAATGTACAATCACCTGTAGCCATGCTCTTCTTTCATCCTTGCGCTGGGCAACAGCAACAAATAAAGGTTTCTTTCCTATCAACTTGCCATTCATTTCGTTCAACTGAAACAATAATAAAAACATTGTATGCCTTCATGTTTCTGTCTCTTTAAAAGAAAGCAACAGAAGGTAGACTAGATAATTTGGGACAACTCACAGCTCGTGTAGCTTCCTCGGGGGTGGAGAAGGCAACAAAGCCAGAACCCTTGCTCACCCCTTTTGAGTCGCGCATCACCTAATAATAATTTCAAGTTGATATATAACACTAAAACAAGCTTTTCCATAGATGATTTGCACTGAAAAAATTAATATGTTGGGGACATACCTTGCAGGACGTTATGGTTCCATACTCCGAGAATAACTCTTTCAGATTTTCATCATTCACACTGTCGTCGAGATTTTTCAAATACAAGTTAGCACCTTTTAGTTTCTCAAATCGTCTAGCTCTTTCTTGTTCGAATTTGGCTTTCAGTTCTGCTTCGCGTTCTGATTTCTTCTGGGCCTTGCCTACATACAGAACTTTTTCTTTCAAGGAACTGCCACTCAACTGTTCAACAGCAGAGGCTGCAGCATCCGAGCTCTCATAATTGACGAAGCCAAAACACTTGGACTTCCCATTTTTGTCTTTCATAACTACAGCACTGGTGATGGTTCCATACTTCTCAAAAAGCTTCTTAAGATCCTCATCAGTGGTAGTTTCAGGAAGGTCTTTCACATACACATTTGTGAATTTATCAGAGGCATTTGCTTGACTCCTTTCTTGTCGACGGATGAAGTGGCCAACATAGACTTGTTTATCATTTATCAACATACCATTTAGACGCTTGATTGCATTGTGTGCGGCTTCGTCCTGATCAAATTGCACAAATCCATATCCTTTTGACTGACCATTACTATCAACAACTACCTTGCAGGAAAGAACCGTTCCAAAGGCAGCAAAAGTGTCATACAATGCCTTGTTATCAATTGACGAGTCCAGATTCTTAATGAAAACATTTGCATATCCGCTCTTCCGCAGACTAGGATCTCTATGAGAAAACATTATCCTCATAGGTTTTCCATTCAACTGACTAAAATTCAATAACTCCCTAGCAGTAGCAGCTGCAATGCATAAATTAAATTACAGAAGTAAAAGGTCATTAAGACCCATAGTACGTAATAAAATTTAAAAAGAATTTAACGCAATTACTACTTGAAAGGGATTTGAAAACAATAGTCAAACAAAATTAATGATGGACTTAAAAGCACCAAACACAAAAGCTGACAGCTTTATTATTTTATTAAAATAAACAGCATAAAGTAGAAGGAACAGAAGTATAGAATTGTACCAACACAAAATCTACGAGATCAATAAATCGAGAAGTGGTCAAATATTTAATTACGAAAACCCAAAAGAATAGTAAAAAGAAACGGAAGAAAACTCAAAGCAATGAGCGTAATCAAACCACTAGCAATCACTTGAAAGTTGAAACTACAGTCAAAATATCATTCTGGAACTTTATCAACAAAACAAACGCCGAATAAGCAAAATAAAGCGACATGCAAATAAACAATCCAGTGTGTGTGTGTGTTGCAACAAGAAGCAATACTAGTGGCTAACCATCATGTGGAGAAGCGAAATTGACATAAGCGTAACCGAGGGAGAACCGGCCCGATTGATCCCTGCAAACCCTAACGGACACGACTTGTGCCACGTGGTTAAACACCTCATACAGTTGTCCTTCTTCCACTGACGTGTCCAGATCCCCTACGTACAGGGCATAGTTCGTACTAGTCGTCACACCAACACCACCACTACCGTTACCACCACCTCCCATTGCCACCTGCGGAGTCGGCGGTGGTGTCGCTCCGACCGTCGTCGTTTCCGCCTGAGTTTGCACCGCTGGTGGCGGAACCGCCGTCGCCGCCATCACTTGAGGTTATCTCCGATTAAAATCGAATAACACGTTAAATAGATTATTACTATTATTATATATATAGAGAGAGATAAATGTGTCTGAATATAGAGAGAGAGAAAGAGATTGAATTGTGAAGTGAAAGACTTAATGGATGAAGAGGAGAAGATCAGAGAGAGGAGGCGCAGCGCGGAGAGAAGTGAAAAATTGGCACTCGTGAGTGTATATATATGGAGAAGAGCGTGGAGCCCACTGAGAACCGGTTCCTTAGTAATATGGCAGCGATTGGATGGGGCCGCACGTGTGGGTAATAGTGACATGTGCTGAAGTTCTCTCGTATTCCACGTGCTTTTCGGCTTCGAGAAAGTTAATTATTGTACGGAAAAGGGCCTAAACTGTCCTAGGTTATTCAATTTGGTACAAAATTGACATCCATCCACTTATTGAGTTAAAAATAACCCCACCGTTATCTTAGTCGCTCAATTATACCCTTATTATTAACGGACTTATCTAAAAGAAATAAAAAAAATTTAACGATTATCCATGTGTTACCGTGCTATTAGCCTAAATATAAATCCTTGCTAAATTAAACAGAAAAAAACACCATAAACCTAAGTTTTTATTGATCCGCCCCGATTTTAAACCCTATTAGTCCAAACCCGATTTTAAAATTAACTTCTTCTTCATCTTTTTGATTCTGCAAATGGAAGCGCCACTAAAACAAGAAAAGTAACAATTTAAGCAAGAAAATATTGAGTTTAGGAATGAAATGAAATGGGTATGAGAATAACATTCGGGATCTGGACTTAGGAAGTAATTCATTAAATGAAATCAAATGGGTGTGAGAAAAAAAATTCATTTTCTCCTCCTCTAATTCAATTTCATGGAGATTGGAGAAAAAAGGGGGAGGTGGCAATGGGGCATGCCCTTTTTTCGGGCGACTGTGAAGAAACTGGGTGTTTTTTCTAAAAAATTTTTTGGTAAGATTTAAATTTAGATCAACAGGACGGTGACACGTGGATATTAATTATAAATATTTTTCAATTAGTCCGTTAGTTAATAAGGGCATATGTGAGCCACTAAGATAACAGCAGGGGCATTTTTGGCTCAATAGGTGGACGGGTGGAATTTTTGTACCAAATCGAATAGTCTAGGGGCATCTTTGGCACTTTTTCGATTATTGTATGTTGGCGTTTTTCCAATTTTAAGAATGAAAGGACTCCTCGTTCAAGAGACAAGTTACCCCAAAATTAATTATTCTCATATTAGTTATTTTGAAATTATTATTTCACTGTCTTATACAGATAAAAATAATATTATAATCTCAAAATAATTAATTTAGATATTGGTTATATTGCGATTTTATCCCAACCAAACGTAGGATAAACTCATTTCAAATTTGATACCGAGATTAATTATTCCTTATCCCTCGTACTAAACGAACCAAAAGAGTTTTCTTTATTGTAATTTTATACACGCCTTTTATAAGGGATAATTTAACACCTTCTCTTACGTTTAATTCCATCATACTCTTCTTCATGGTTTAACCGTCGCTTTCCTTATTTTAGTATCTTATAACCATTCTTTTAATATATTTATTTTTAATATAAATAAATTATGATTTGATTAATTTGCTCTTTCTAATATACCTTTTTTATTTAATTAATTTGGCAAGCTTCTTAAAAATGTTATTTCCGTCCACGTTATTGTGGTTATCCAGTATTCGGCATTCGCGGCTCCATATCCTATTCTTTACCTTCCCCATTATTCCTTTTACACAAAGAAAGAGAATAGATAAGAAAAAAAGAATAGATTACAGAATCTGATAAATCACTCTAGTAGACATTGATTTTTTCAAATGACATGCCGCCGTAGATGTAACAATCCGACCAGTTGTTCGGCGGTTTGAGGCATTGAGTAGCTTCACTTTGTGTATTATGATTTGCACGTGTAGTCGGGTTTGAATTTCGGGAAGTTCGGACTTGATTCGGAAGGAAAATTCTCAATTCGGAAGCTTTAAGTTGGAAGAGTTGACCAAGGTTGACTTTTGAGTAAATGATATCGGAATCTGATTTGAAGGTTCTAATAGGTTCGTATGATAATTTTGGACTTGGTCTTATATTCGGGTCGAGTTTTAGGTGGACCGGGAGCGTTTCGGCGCTTAGTGTGAAAAGTTGTCATTTTGAAGATTTTACAACTTCCTAAGTTTGATATGAGGCGGACTTTGGTGTTATCGATGCCCGTTTGGGATTTCGAACCTCGGAATAGGTTCGTATTGTGATTTCTAACTTGTGCGTAAAATTTGGCGTCTTTCCAGAATGTTTAAGTGTGATTCGGACGCGTTCGGCGAAGTTGTAATGTTTGAAAGTTAAGAGAATATTCTGATCGTCGATTCGTGCTTTTGATATTATTCGTGGCGTTTCGAGCCTTTGGATAAGTTTGGATAAGGTGTTAGAACTTGTTAGAATGATTGGACGGGGTTCCTCGGACCTCAGGTAAGTTTTGGGGTGGTTTACGACCACTTTTAAGCCTTTTTGAACCGCTAATAACTGGTGTTAGGGGTGTGAAACGCGATCGCAAAGGTCTGTGCCGCGATCGCGAAGAGAAAAGTGCATTCCAGGCCTTGTGAATCGCGATCGAGGAAGGAAGGGTTGCGATCACATATAAGGAAATTTTTGCTGTCAACGTTTTGACTTCAGAAGCTTATATTTTGCAATCTATAAATAATTTGGGAATGATCTAAAAATGAGAGTTGTAGTCCTTTGAATCTAGTTTTTAGAAAATTAAACCGTTTGGTATATGAAATTTTGAACAAAATGTTATGGGTATTATACCAAAGGGTATCTATGAAGAGGAAAACACAATTTGTACACCGCGATCGCGTGGTTTTTGACCGCGATCGCAATTAATAAAATGATGCTGGAACATTTGTTAACTTTGATCGCGTGGCTAAAGACCGCCAACGCAAAGAAGGAGGCCTGGCAGGTGTATTAAACATCCAATTTTGGGATTTTTAGTTCATTTCTTCACCTTAAGTTCTTGGAGCACATGTAGGTCTTGAAGACATTAAACATCCAATTTCGGGATTTTTAGTTCATTTCTTCACCTTAAGTTCTTGGAGCACATGTAGGTCTTGAAGACCATTTTCTCCATATATCATAAGATAAGTTATTCCTACTTGTATTAATTTATATACAAGGATTAATGGATTTAAACATGAAATTTTATAAAAATTGTGAAATTTTTTAAGAAAAACCTAAAATTTATATTTTTAGATTTTTACCACGAAATTGGACATGAAATTGAAAATAAATTATACATTTAAGTTCATGGTGCTTTGGGTAATATTTATCTTTGAAAATTTTCGGAATGTGGGTACTTGGGCCCCGGGGGTTGACTTTGTTGAATTTTTGAGTCGATTTGTGAATTGTTATAAATTATTAATTTACGAGTATTGGAGTATATAGTTATTGGTTTGTACGTTGTTTGATTAGTTTCGGATCGTTTGACATCGAGTTGAGGTGTTTGAGAGGCTTTGGAGCCGGTTATCGAATTTTGGAGCGAGGCAAGTCTCTTGTCTAACCTTGTGAGGGGGAATTTATCTTGTATGTGTTATATTTGTTATGTGCTACATGATATGGGAGCTACGCACGTATGAAGTGACGAGTGTCCGTGCATCTGCTAGAATTCCTGATTATGTCCGGGTAGACCTAGACTCACGCCATGTTTTAATTGATTATGTCCAGGTAGATGTTGATACTCAATTTTTCCCTATATATTTTAATACACATATATACTTTCAAAATAGCATATATGCATATATAAGCATGCATTTCTATAATTTTAAAGGCTTTAGATTGATTTATTTCTTCCCCTTTTACTTGTAAAATTTTCAATAATTGTCCTTCAAACTATTGTTGTGGTAATTTAGCCATCTATATCCTATATTTATGCCAAAACATTGCTTAAATATTTTTGTGCATTTTTATAATTGCATTTATATTTTTAAGCCAATTTGCATATAATTGCAATGCTAGCCCTATTAATGCAAAATTACGTTATTAATGCATAAAAGGGTCTTTTATATTTTTTAAATATTAAACAACTATTTTTAATCATTTTCAGTACATGAAATATTTTTTAGAAATCATTTATTTATTTTTTGTAAATTGTATAGTACTAAAAATGGCTATTTAAAACTTAACCTATTTTATTTCAATTTCAGCCTAAATTCAACCCAACCCAATCCCAATACCCAGCCAATTTTCTAATTAAATTACCCGACCCAGGCCCCAAACACATTTTACCCGACCCAGGCCCCTCTAATCTTGGCCGTTGATCTTCGAGATCAACGGCCCGGATTCACCCTTTCCTAATTAAACTAGCCTATACCCCCCAAAACCTAATTCATTTCACCACCTCCTCCGCCGCCCTAAAATCCTCTCTGCTCTCAAAACACTCTCAACCTAAACCCTAATCTTCAAACGCCGACCTCCCATCTCCGGCCATCTCCGGTGACCTCTCATCATCTCTCATGCCTCCAATGGCTTCTCTCACGTCATTCTTGCCTTTTCTAAGGCCCTCAAGGGACCAGGGCCATGTCGACTTGCATCTAGGGTTCATCTCCTGCCTGTTCCTGGCCATTCCAGTGTGATTTCAAGCGAAATCGTTCTATATTTGCTACGATCTATAGGTTTCTAGACATGATTCTTCATCTTTGTATGGGTCTCTTCGAAACCCTAATTTCTTTTCTATACCTCCTAGATCTGTACAGATCTAGGACGATTTGAGTTTGTTTCTTGAGTGTTTTACAATAGCCTTGAGATTCTTTACAAGAATCGTTTGATTTCAAATGATTTCTTCACCTTTTCTAAAACTAGGATTTTCGGAATTTCTTTTAAAACTTTGTTCAAATAATTCTTTATGTTTAAACTTCTATTTTTCACATATTTTGACTGATTCTATGAGTCTACTACAGCCTTAACTCGCCTATGCTGAAAGACCTAATTTTTTAGGGTTCTTCGTTTGGTTTTTGAGTATTAGCATGACTGACCGGTTCTCGTTTTGAGTTTTTTGTGATTTCTCGTGACTGTCTTGCCTTGATATGCTTCTACTGAGTTTCTTAGTCTAAACTTTCACTGATTCTATGTGCTTGTGTTCATCTTGGCTGATCACATCA